ATGTTGTCCATACTACAAAAAATACATTAATAAAATATTTCAAATCGCCTATTTCATGGGCGATCCAGACAGTTGCAATCCGTAAAAAAACAATATAACCAAGATTGCATTCTATTGTCATTTATTTTATGAACCAATTTATATGAATATTTGGCTATTATATCATTTGATAGCTGCGTCAATCCTACTCAATATGTAATGCAACAGAATGCACAAATATCGATGCACGCTCACATTTTCCTAAAACAGCTGCAACTGTCCTCGCTGGTCCAACCCTCAACAAATTTCAGTATACTCATTCGAGTAGATATACGGTATGAATCCCCAAATCTCGGCTACGTACAAAATAATTAACATAATTCATGCTATCGAACAATTTAAAGTATAAACAATGTATAAAAATATTTGATTAAAATGCAAATATGAACAATATTCGCATCATGTGATTTTAATAATTATTATAGGCAATAAACCTGGTATTTTGATTGACTACTTTCAAGCTGTGTTGTATCATGAATATATGCATCATTCAGTTTTAACCAATCGAAATAACGCGTTCGAACGTGATGACGTTATGGTGTAAGATTATTCTCTCCATCTTGTGTTAATAGAGGATCCGGATGACGAGTTTGATTGCCAGGTGCAGTGTGGTGGTAGATGTCGATATCAGTCATGTAATGTAGGTGAAATGAACGCACCCAGTAACTGCTACTGCCATGGATCACCGATGAACAAATGTTGTATAGGTAAGTGACAGAGTTTGTGTGGTGGCGGCGTGATATAGTCATTGTTAGTATGGCAACAACTATTATTGTGTTTATTGTGGTGCTGTTGCTATGGAGTGCGACAATGAAAGTAAGAAATCAACCATAACCTTAAAAACGACGACGTTGAACAATGGAACCATAAACGCTTAGTAAATATATTTTTTTTTTATATTTAAGACGACCCATATACTTTAGAATGTACCGAATGCAATGGACAATGTCGGTCAGAGTGCTTGGCTGGGGAGACAGAAACATCATGCGACTGTCATGGCGGCGATGGAAAATGCTGCATAGGTATGTATGAGCTTAGCATCCCTAGCTTAGCCGATTTTTATTCGATATACAGTATTGCGTGTTTCAGATCCTCACATTTATGCACGCCAAAATATGTTTTTTGTTATATTCGAAGCTGGATGATGTCGATATAAGTTGTGAATTATCGTGCCACGGTGAATGTCGTGTACACTGTCAGCATGACGAAGTGATAGCGAACGATGGATGCACGTGTCCCGGATCCACGCACTGCTGTGTCCGTAAGTATACCGAATTATTTGTTTGTGTCTTTTCCCTGGCGCTATTCTGTGCCTACTCGTGTTATCTGGTTCCTGGTTTATTTAAATTATAAACGTAACCATGCGAGCATTCGAAAGCCAATTAAAACAATCTTTGCACTGTTATATTTGCGAAATCCTGGGTTCACACACTTAGAAACCATACCACACTAATGAAATACGTATTTAGAGACAATTTAAAAATAATTATTACTAAGATATTAAAGTATACGTTGGTGTTTGTGTTTTACAATATGTATTATATTTCCGTAATTGGTACACAGGTTGACTCTAAATTCAATAACGTAATAATGTTGGTACATTCGATTTAAATATCCAACCCTATACTGAAGGTGTATATTTGTCTTGAATTTTTTTTCGGACATATACGTGTTAAATATTTGACCAGAATTAGTTATATGACAAAGAATTTCGTGAATATAGTTTGGTGTACGTTTCAAACTGTACCAGGATTGGTTAGACGGCTCATGTACTATAATAAAATTATCCAATCTTCCAACTCTGTGACTCGAACCAAATTACTTTTTTTACGGGAAATCATATAACTTATCTTTCATCAAGTTTATTAATTTAAAGACAACACATGAATTGGCCTCTTAAGTGAAGGTTGGAAACGAGATTTCATATTTATAGTAATGAATATATTTTTATTCCATTTGCAGTCTACACTGTTCCCTTCATATTTTGTGTTTAATTGTGTCGCTTTTCTGAGCCACTCAGGCTGGTCTTGGATTACCTTGTGACAGATCACCTCGTATCACGAGTGTCAACAGTATCCAAACTGAATCGATTAGCGCTTAACAATTCAGGACATAACTACATTGCACAATATTCTCCTCAGATAATCCCTATCAGTTATCGTGTGTTCACACGTGTGGTGGTATCTGTCGTGACGAGTGCGAATCTGGGGAGGCAACGGCCGTGGAGGCGTGTCAATGCAGTCTGGCAAACCAAGTATGCTGTAGAGGTAAGGGACGTCTTAATAACGTTTATAATGCCTGACTAGACATGTGCTAACCTCGCCAACATTCATCGTGCCACGCGTGTTCAAATTTCACGTAATCACATGGGACACACGTCGAATAACAAACAGAGAACCGCGCAATACAAAAGAGCGCACTAACGACACTGTGGTAGATTCATACAGTCTACAGGGGGTATTTTCGTAAGCTGTAATCAGTTACTTTTATTTTCGTAATAATGTAATTTAAATAAATAAAAAAACGTAAATTCGAAGACATAGACAAGGTGTAAAATGTAATCAGCTGTTTTATTCGTCTGTAATTTGTACACAGATCTTATTCTTTGTAAGCGTATACAGCATTTTCAACATTAAATGTCGTAATTCGTACGCAATTTTTAATCTAGTTTGATTTTTAAACACGAATCATCTAGTATAACAATGTAAAATGTAATTATGAATTTGCTTTTTCCTGTAAAGTGCAAACAACTATTTTTTACTGTAAATGGAACTTTCCATTTTATTTCCTGTAAAAACGTAAAATGCATTTTTTTATTTCCTGCAACCTGTACTAACTATCCCCTTGCTCCCCCTCTAGAAGAAGCATTGTGGGTGAAAGCATGAATGAATAAGAACATGTTTTAATAGTGTTTGAGTATTCATTCGATTGAACAAAAAAATTCTCTAATTCGCACCTACGCTGATTATTTTAGTAATTAAAGTAACGATTAACGAATCTCATTTGTATCGAAGGAATACAATACCATAAGCTGCAAGAAACATTTTTTTTAGTTTTATGATAAATCTTCAAATTTTGTTTATTGTTTATTATTTAACTTATCTCGTTCTCAAAATGATCGTCGACGTCACGGTCGCTTTCAGTACAAGGCTGGATGTACGGCGATCCTTACATTTGGTCCTTTGATGGCATCAGGATACACACACAGGAACTGTGCTCTTACATACTTGTCCAAGATATGATATCTGAACCCAGCCGTTTTAAAGTCATCGCAACGACACGTGAAAAGTTAAACATGGGAAGAGATGTTACAAATGTGAATAGCATCTTAGTTCACGCAAATGGAAGAACAATACATCTTATGGAGGGACAACAAATCCAGGTATGTCGTTGGAATCTGCATATTTATTGACCTAATATAAATTGTTATGAATGTTCCGGTTTTTGTTTGTAACTTCGCAGTGTGGACAGGTACAGTACCGACATGGTACACAACA